TTAAATGAAGAAAATATTTCACACAATTTTATGTTTTAAAACAACTAAAACTGCATATTATTGATTTTTGTTTGTTTGTTTCGGTATTGTATTTTTGAACATACTCTTCGTTTGCTGCTGCTGCAGCCTGGCGGTAAACCATCTGTGTGTTCTGCACTGCTACAGAACACACAAATTTCTTGTCTATTCTCGCACTGCTTGTACGCAAAAGAGTAAATTAAAAAGAGTACGGAGTTGAAGACAAAACTCAAGAATGTGGAAAATATTTTACTGTCTTTCTTTGTTATGCAGATTTTACGTTGATTGTGCACAAAACAAATTGTACACAAAAACAAGGTACAGAAAGGTGTGTTGTGTGTCGCTCATATTTCCATGCGGTTGCTGCTTATGCCTGTTCTGTTTGCGCGTTTCCTTTATCAATTCGTTTCATATGTTTTTGGTGTTTCTGTTTCTGTATTCGAATGAGTATTCCATTCCAACGAGCACTGGAAGAAAGTGACGCCACTTTTTCTCGTGTTTTGCTTTTGGTACATACAATAATGTTCTTTTTTGTCATTGCTCTTCTTGTCAGTTGCTTTTTTTTCTGTTTTGTGCTCCCATAAATGGTGATGTGGGATGCGAGCAACAATGAAAACACATGATAGACTGTCATTATTTTTAATGTTACTTTATTTTATTTTATATTGCATTTTTTCACTCCTTAATAAAAATGAAAAATTTTTTAATTTGTGCAATGGAGTTTTAAAACTTCTTAAATGAAATACAGTGAAGTAGGAAATATTTAATTGATTTTATTTTATTTTTTTTTGATTGAAAAATTAAGTTCTACTAATGCATTTAAAATTATTTTTCTTATACAATCATATATTCTTATAATATCTAATATTCCAAATGTTTATATAAAAATAAAATACCAATAATGTTAATTTCTTGTGATCTACTTTTTACACTCCTATTTACACTCTTTTACATTTCTATTTATTTTAACCCTTGTAGTATTTATTTTGTGATCATATGGTTATGCCTTAACAGCTGTCTATTACAGTGAATTGAAAAGGGTTATCAATACTCTTTACTTTTGAAAATTATTTATTATGTTTTCCTTCTTAATAAGGAAAGGATAATAAAAGGAAAGAATAATAAAACGTTGGTCTGACCGATTCTGTTTCTTTGTCATAAAAGTTTATTCACTTACTTAGTTGTGAAGTGATACAGTGAAAGCTCTTTGTTCGGACAATTATGGGCTACCAACTAATCTATGTTCGAATGGTAATTTTTTTTAAAATAAAAAAACAATATGACTATATTGTGTATTTTTTTTTCAATTACAATCCTGTCATAACACGACTCTGCGGATTGCAATTTCATATTGATCATCTTTATACAGAATCTAGAATGCTTATCTTAAAAGTATCCAACTGTTGTTCATGAAATATCCGCTTACGTGTTGCAACCCAAAGATATCATGTGTAGTAGAGTGCTCCCTCCAAAATGCATTCACCGACTCCTTTATTTATATCATGAATATAGCAACATATATTGATATAACTCTTAATAAATCTCCGTCTAATAACTCCCAGAAAGATCGATGTCTTCCCCCTGCAACATAATCTGTCTTAGCTCTATTAAGATTAAGAGTATATGTAGTAACTTGTATGACGCATAAATGCACTAACTGCAGCTTTATCGCCCATCTGTGTTTCAGCCACAATACTTACGAAAACTTAAATCCAATCGACCGCCACAATTTAGTGGTCAGATTCTTCACCTTGATTCTGATTGAATTCAATTTAAATTCCATTAATCTCAAATTAATTCGTACTCCTAAATAAAATGGTATGCATCCATTTAAGAAGTTTTAAAATTTATCAATGAAAATTTCATTTTATATTTAATTCATGTTCAACTATTAGTAGATCGTGCATTTCTAAGATATTTTCTAGAGTTGTCTAAATTACATCTTTGGGGAAATATATGAATTTATAAGAACAATGATCTCTCTCACTTCCTTCTTGATCGAAACCTTACTTGTAATACAAAACGTATTTAGCTAAGTAAACTGTTGTGGTAGTGGGCAGGAATCTGTCTGTGCTGTCGGTTTTTGGGAGTGTGAAATGTTACTTGTATGTCGAACTCAACGTGTGGTTTCGGAATGTAGACTCGGCCGTTCTTAAAAGCAGCTAAATTAGACGTAATATTTTGTTATATATCAATTTTATTGAATATTTTATATATCAATTGGTTTGTATAAACTAAGAAGTACTTAACTCGTTAGAATTTTTGTTGATGGGTAAAAGATCTATTAAACTTTAAATTTTTAGAAAAAAAAACTGCTGATCTGCCACGGCAACCAACCAATCAACGAGTGTTTCAATTTGATAGAGTAATAACTTTACTCGTTAGAGTTTCTTATATATAAAATAAACAACTTGTTACTTACTAACTGAAAGTATCTCATCCTTATAGACAATCTAGCTTTTCTCGTGAATGCTTTTAATATTTCTATCAATTATCACTTCTTATCACATCAGTTTCATACTAGTTAGACTTGAATTAAACTCCTCGCTCGTTACTTTTGATGACTAATTTAATACTAGTTGAATTTATATGCTTCTGGTAACTAACTTGCATAAAATTATACTTAAAGAAGAATTTATATTCAGTTATTTGGTTACAACGTTTCATTATATAAAATATATAACAAGGCAAGATACATTCAATGAAATGTATGAATGTATCTCTGTATATGTATCAATGAATGTATCTTGCCTTTTTATATATTTTATATAATAAAACGTTGTAACAAATAACAAATAACTGAATACAAATTCTTTTTAAATATAATTTTGTGCAA